TTTTTTTTTCTTAACATATCTTGCATTATTTGTCTCAGAGGTACAGATCTGAGATGTAAACATATTCTTTACATCAGATATGCTACTGCCCTAGCAATTTAGAGTTCCCAAGGAAATGGAACATGGAGCTTGTAAAGATGACGAGAACTCACAGTTACTGAGAGCTTCTATGTGCCAGGTATGCGTCCAGAGGCTTTCATTATCATCTCTTATCTTCCAACTAACTTTATGAGCTGGGCACTCTTATTCCCATTTGGAGAGTAATGGAGGCAGAGGGAGGTTAAGTGACTTGTTCTAAGTCACACATATAGTAAGACACAAAGGAGGATTTGAATTCAGATCTGTCTGACTTCCAAGCCCATATTCTTATTTCCCTGTGTGGAAGGAAAGAGGCTGAGAAGCACAACAGCAGGACATGCTTCCAGAGACGGCCAGCTTAGATGGGCCTCACAGTGGGAGGCCCATGGCAGAGAGGACACTATGTTCTTCTGGAAAGGAGAGTGCCACGAGGATAGGAGAGGGCCTAAAGGGCCCAAAGGAAAACCTCTTCTCAGGCTCAACCATGGCCCTGGGAATTTGAGGTGCTCACTTAAAGAGCTGTGGGGGAGGGATATAACAGAGACTCAGTTTACACTGGTGTTTCTTGTCCCCCAGCATGACTGAGGAATCCCTGAGAACTTCACTAGTGATAAACAGAGGGACTGATTTGATTGGAATGGCATGTGATGTTCATTCGACCAAATTTGTTAAGTGCCTTCCATGTATATGATTAGGTGCTTATGACAGAATGATGAATAAGACAGTCCCCGCTCTGAGGATACTGAAACTGTCCTTCAGAACTGTCCTGGGTTCCTATTTGTAGCTACAGATGGGCAAGAGGTACCAGTAACTTGACCTGAAGAAAGGTACTGAGGTCTAAATACCTCACGAGATTCTGTTTTATTCTTAACTGATGCAATAACCAATTCTGCCTGAGTGTATGAGAATCTACACGCAGAAAGTGCAAAAACACACAGGCACAGGCAATCAGGTACCACGTATCTTTTACAACCTTAAAGCTGTATTCAAGTAGAACCTGTCAGTATAGGATAGAAAAGACAGGGTATCTTCATTTGAAGGTGGGTGTAGAGTAAGTGACACCCAAGAAATATGACAGGGAGGCCGCTCATAATAGGAGAGACTCCTGGGGCCCTTCTTGGCCCCATCTACAGAAATTGAGAACTTCCCTTTGTCAAGGTCTAGTGGGAGAGGCATGAGACAAGCAGCGTCCCTCTTCTCCCAAGGAAGCACAATACAACGTGAGCAAAGCCATCAGTGCAAAAAATTATTTTCAGGACCTCTAAAAACTACTAGAGTCAGTAATGACTCAAGTCAATAAAGGGCCAGAAAATAATCTGACAGGAAAATCTGGAGACTTGGTTTGAAAGAATTTTGAGATTTAGTTTGTATCTGGGGCTCTTGCAAAAGTATGCTATTTTCCTACAGAAACTGCATAGAAAGAGATCAGGTGTAAGAAACCACAAGGCGCCAGAACTGAATTACAAGAAAGAGAAATTTATGGAGCAAAGGAGAAAAGCTGTAATCTATGTTCCTTGAGAAACTCTGAATCTTAACTCTGAAAATCTTTTTCTCACTGAGAACAGGATGCAGAAGAGGGATACCCAAAGGAGACTATGCAATCTCTGATCCAGGAGTGTTTTAAGAATAAAATCAGAAATATGTAGATGGAAATCAATTTATATACTACTTAAATGTGCATGTGTCCTTGAGTCCAGTCAGATGGAAAGCAAGAGAGACTAGACACAAATAAGGCAGAGGGACTTGCAAGTGAGGCCAGTTCTAGTGGGCACAGCTTGGTGAGAAACCCAGCAGAGTGGGGAGGCAGTACAGAGTAGCGGAAATTGCATGGGCTTTGAGGCCAGGATGACTGAAGTAGAAATCTTGGGGCTCATACTTCCTAGCTCTATGATTCTGGGAAGCTTAATGTGAATATCCTTTTCTTCACTTGTAAGATGTGTAAATATAGGTCTATCTCACAGAACTGCACTGCACATCAGTCCATGAAGCACAAAGCTGCTTAGCTGGTATAGTTAGTATTAAATGTCAGCTCCTTTCCTGGGGCACTTGCTTGTATCCTTTGGTGGCAGGCCTGGAGTTTCCCTTAAGATCTAACCAAGGTCAGAGAGGCCCTTTATCTATCTGCTACCTAGACATGCCCATTGAGAAAGACGTAAGGAACAACTCAGATTCTGGGGTGACCTATGAGAATTAGTGCAGAGGATGTAGTCAGCCATTCGTAACTGTCTTTCAGGAAGACGAACACGCGTGCCTGGCAGCACAGCCCTCTGCAGGGGTCCCCTCCTCTCTCTCCACACTCCTCCTGACCTTTCCTGGGAGATGGTTTGTAGGGACTGCATTTCTAAGAAAATGAGTCCATGGCCTGGCATAAAGTCCAGAGCTTGCCATTTAATTTTCTCCTGGGTCCACTGCTTGTTGGACTCCTTAAACCTGACACATTCTTTCTTTTCTCCTTCATCTCTATAGAATTCCTGACTTCACATACTTTTCTATTCTCCTTTGCCCACAGATTACAGAATTTCTTTTCTTCCTTCCTCTTTTTACGCTATTCCATTCTCACGTGCCCCCCAACCCACACCACATATGCACACAAACACACACACTCACTCACTCTTTAAGAAATCCTGATGTAGATGCCAGGAATGTGTCTACTGCCCTTTTGACACAGAGTCTGATGCCATCTTCGGGGCCATGGGGAGGGCAGAGCCACAGGACGTGGCATTCGTGTACTCTACTGCTAGCCTGCTTCATATTTTTATCATGGCATTGCTCTGGGCATCCAGGCAGGGAACCAGTCCAGCTTCTTCTCATTCCTTTGCTCTCCATCAGGACTCCATAATAATCTCACCCCTTACCTTGGCTGGATCTTCCTGCCCCAAACCTTCTACCATCAATGGAGCACAGTACATCCCTCCTCTTTCCCTCCAACCTAGTCATGTCTGAGTACTTGTCCAATTTCCTAACCCTGATTCTGATGCATGCAGGAATACTGGTAAGTTTCTTCTGTTTTCGGACATGAGCAGTCTGCACAAGCTGGATTCACTCCTTGGCTTAGCCTGCTACCCTCACTCCTCTGCCCCTCCCTTTGTCTCTAGTTCCAAACAAGGAGTGCTCCTTCTTACATAATTGGATGTTCCCAGCACAGAAGCTGACACACGAGGTCAGGCGCGCATGCGTCCAAGATTTCCCTTTGACTTAACAATGCCTTTTTTGGGCATCTAACTTCTCTTCAGCTCCCTTCCCCCACTCTCTCCACGCCATCAACAATCAAGGGAGATTTATGAAGCCTGGCTCAGCTCAGAACTCTTCCAACCTTGGCTTAGAAGGAGGGGTCATGAGGTTGAATTTACTCTCCTTTTTTTTTTTTGCAGGCTAGAGCGCAAGCTTGAGAGTGAGGGAGCGCACACTCATGACTTGGCAAGAGTTCCTGGCATCCAAGGCAGTTACGCATATATAGGTCTTTTAAGGGAGCAAGGAGAGTAAACAAAGCTGAAGGGAGAACTTATCTTTTTGGAGATGATGATGCAGGAGGTTGGAAAATTAGGACATTTTAAGGAGATGAATGCAAATCTAGATGGCTGTACAGTCCCTGAAGCCCCAGCTGCAGTGTGTTCACGATACTAGAGAAGCGGCAGTAACTATCAGTGGCCCCAATACCGACTATCCTTCTCTTTAAAGTGCAGAGCTCAAAGGAGAGCCCACGTAATCTGCAAAAGGATACAGCTCCGATCCTTGTGGTTTCAGAGACACAGTAAACATGGTGCTCCCTGGGCAGCAGTGATGGGGACAGTCTCAGAGAGGCCAACACCGAAGCAGGAAGCAGGCAGGGACCACACCATACCTCTTCTCAGAGTAGCAATGGTAGGTGGAGTGGCAGGGAAGGTGCTGTAGCTTTGGGGGGATATCAAATTTCAGCTTATTTGCTTACCAAAGCAAGTAAAGCCCAAGAATGTAACACTGTATGAACCTCTTTTTAAAAATAAAAAGAAATGTAAGCTGTCCAGGGGAGAAGTAACATGGGCTGGCCTTAGGATGCTGCAGGGCCCTTTGTGTTACATGTGAATGTGCATACACAGAACCGTGGAGTTTACAAAGTGACTGATAATCTCCTCTTGAGGAATGTAGACTACTCTGAGGCAAAGATATCTGTTGGTTTTTAATCCCTTCAAATCCCAGGGCAATCCATGAAAGATAAAGTCATTATAGCTGAAAATCACATGAACATGGGTTCGAATTCTGCCTGTGGCATACTTACTAGCTCTGTGATCTGGATTAAATAACCACAATTCTTTGTAAGCCTCAGCTTCCTCATCTTTGAAATGGGGATCATAATACCTCTTTCACAGGGCTTTTGAGGGGATTAAGTGATACAATACGCTTGTGTGTTCAGCACAGTGTCTGCACAAAGTAAACTCTCAACAAAGGTTTGCTGGATACTAAATATCCTGAAGGTGACAATGTGATCAATGTCTACAATTTGAGTCCTGAAATAAGCCCTGTCTTTTCCGTGTCTACCACACACAGGGGAACTTGCTGGTACGAGACCACAGACCACAGATCCTTCATGCCTCTGGAAGGGGAATTGGGATTCTTTTTCCAGATAGCCACGGTTTCTTCTTGACTCCTATTGTAAAAAAGCTTCAAGAGCACTGTGAACCCAGCACAAGATATTTGAGAAGAGGGTCATGTTTATATATCATTAAAAAGATGGAATGATTTCTAGGGAAAGATGAAAGGCCTTGACCAGGGAAGGATAAGACTCTTAGTTCTAGTCTGTGGAGACTCAGGGTGAGAAGGGTGTCAGCCGGCTGTGTTCCTATTTCTATTGCAGCTAACACAAAACAGAAGAGACTTAAGGATAAAATTTGGTTAAAATAAGTAAGACCTTTTTGACAGGAAGGGATATTAGACAACTGAATAAGTATAAAATATCATCACCTGGAAAAATTTATAACAGACCACAGTTACAAAGAGTTTTCCAAAAGTAAGAGCCACAATATTCTGTTCTTGCACAAGATTCATACTGGCTTCATTCAAATTCACTAAATACATCCAGAATTTCCCTCCTTTAACAAAGAGATGCCACCTCATTTAAAAAAAAAAAAAAGTAAAAGGAAAGTCAAGGGAAATTTAGCTGTAAGCCCTCTCCCTGATTTTGCTTATGGTGTGAGCTACCCGTGGGTTTTGCTCGTTTTCATTCACCTGACAGCTATGTACCCAGCTAACCAGAAGCGGGGTTCTAGTGGAAGTGTCAACAGATGGGGACATGAAGGATAAAACTTATCTTGATTCAAAGTTCTTTTCATGAGGAAAGGCACTACTTGATTCCAGCAGCTCTCCCCACCCATGTAACCAGGAGCACTAGTAATCCTGGAAAATACTGAACTCTGTACTTAACCTATGCTTGTCTATGCTGGAAAGAGACACAGGTAGTCTGCTTCCCGATGTAAGACACGGGAACACTCTGGTTGTTGCTTTAACAAATGAGCCCACTGGCACAAAGTCACCTTGAAAGGCCTTACAAAGTCTCTATTGTTTAGGAGCTCTATTCTGTGTAACTCACAGACAGGCATAGTGGGGACAGTGGTAGCTACGGGACAAGACTGGTATAGAGTGGGTCATCCTGAAGACACAAGTCATCCTGAAGACATAAAAGTAGAGCAAATTTCGGGCCACTAGCTGGAGCAATTAGAAAAAGAAAATACTTTTTATCCTTCTTTCCTTTTTCTGAAGTGCAAATATTAAGACCTAATATCTACTTGGACACTTTTTATGAACCTAAACAGATCGATACTATTATTATTCTTATTTTCCAGATGAGGAAACCAAAGCTCAGAGAGATTAATCATAGCAGAGAAGTAGCATATAGTGTAGACAAGAACCTGGGCTTTGGAATACCTGGGTTTGATTTCTGGCTCCACCACGCATTAGCTTAATGATCATGGATAAGGCCCTCAGCTTTAACCACCATGAAACTGTACAAAATGTGAAAAGTAGGGACTGAGTCTGCTTCATTCCTACTGACCAGCCCGGTGAATAAAGGAGTCAGACCAAAACAATTTCCCAGCTGGACAGAGAGGTAGGAGTATTTCAAGGTAAAGTGGATGAATGCTACAAACAGCCTGGACAACTGTCTACCAGTATGCTCACACCAGAGGGCACAATATATTTACTTCTGCACATCCCACCCGCTCCACTTTATCTTTGTCTCTTCCTTATCCCTAGAGAATTTATAATCATCGCCCACTGAGGTAAATGCAATCTGGCTTAGAATTCTCAATCAGAAATTCCCTTACATTTAATTTCCCATAGAACCCTAACTATGTAAAATACTACTTCTTCAATGATCTGCCTATAATTCCCGAATATATTTCTCTTTCCTTACCTGTTAACTTGCTCAAGCCCTTTAATATTCTGAGTTGTTCAAACTTTAGGTAAACTTCTTCCTACCTGAATCTTAATCTTTTAAAAATTTCTCCTGACTCACCTATACTTTTCTGTTCCTACTGAATAATTTCTTGTGTTTTGAAACCAATTCATCATGTAAATGACTTCAAGGACAGGGGGTAATCAATTATCACATACTAGCTAGTTTTAGAATCTTCCAGTTTTGGGAAAGCACTTGGAAGATCAGCAAGGGGAAACTTAATAGAGGAAGAAAGAAATGAAGGCTCAGTTAGCAACATTCACAGATGACTGAATAAAAACAGAGAGACTCTACTTCAAGTATGAAGGTAATGAGAAAGGAAATGTTTGTTCTTTTATCTAACATTTAATGAGCATCTTCTATGTCCTGGGTCCTGTGTAAGTTGCTGGGGATATATAGCCAGGTCTACTCCTTAAAGAACTGGTAGTCTAGGGCAAAGTTTCTCAACCTCTGCACTGTTGATATTTTGGGTAGGATGATTCATTGTTGTTTGGGGGGGTGGGGAGAATGCTGTCCTGTGTAGTGTAGGATGTTCAGCAGCATCCCTGGCCTCTACCCACTAGATGAAATAACTTCCTGCCTCCCTTCGCAGTTGTGACAACCAAAAATATCTCCAGATATTGCCAAATACCCCTGGGAGAAAATTGCCCCCCATGTGAGGACTACTGGTTTAGGGAAAGAATATCATTTCTCTAATACACTGTGATAAGTATAATCATCACAACTTTGAAAGTAGAAAAGAGGGCTCCTTAGTTCTGGGGGAAGGTGGGAGAGGATACCACAAAAAAGTTTCAGAATAAATGACATTTAATGCTTAATTTTTGAAAAATATTTAGCAGTAGGCCAAGCAGACAAGAGGGAGAGTTTTGGACATAGGGAAGGAGACAGAACGAGAGAGACATGAGATAGAATGAGTAGGAGAAGAATGAACAGAGAAAGACCATTCTGGTAGAGATAAGAGGATGAACAAAGGCCTGAAGGAAGAGAGACCACTGAGTGTTCAGGTCACGATGAATGGTTTGCATGGGGGAGAATTAGAAATAAGGCTGGGACCAAACCATGTCACGTAAGAAAGGAGCTGAAATTTTAATATAATAAATATATATTTTAAACACAGTGGAGCCCTTTTTCAAACAAAAAATTACCCAGATCCCTAGCCTATTACACTGACCAAAATGAAATTTCTTTGATTAGATCATTGTCCGCTCAGTTTTCGCCTTAGCTTCTAAAGCACCTCTGTGGAACCCTAGAACTCTGGGAAACAGTGGAAAAATCACTTTTGTAGGCAAGAGGGCACCACTGAAGGATATTAAGTGTGGACTATATGTTCATATTTGCTTTTCGGAAAAAGCACTCTAGGGGCAGAGTTGAGTATGGAGGAGGGACAAAGGGGAAAGTCAAATGGCATGGAGACTAGTCAGCATTTTATATGTGGGTTTCGCTTGGAGACCAGTTGTCAGCTACAACATGTAGGAAAAAGCACATTGGCTTTGGAGTTACACACATCTAGCTTCAAAGCGCAGGTGTCATTAACTATGACCTTGGGTATGCTAGCTGACCTTGCCAACCTCTATTTTCTTCTATAAAATGGGCTACCTACCTCACTTGGCTGCTACAAGAAAATGTATGTACACAGAGGTCAGGTGCTGGCATATGATGAGCGCTCAGCAAATATGAAAGTGCATCCTCTTCTTTCACTAGGTCTTTTTATTATTAAAGCTCCTTAAGCTTCCCTGATCTTAAGTAACTCTGAGAGTAGGAGGGAAGATTTACTTGCTCCTTGTTAATGGATTTTCTACTTGTAGAACTGACACATAATTCTGTTTTTAAAAACAGTTTTTCTTCTTGGTATGACCTATTATCATGAGCCATATGCTAACAGAAGAGGTCAGAATTGGGCTTCTTGTTACTTTAGGACCTGCCAGGATGTCTCAAAAGAGAGACATCAAAACAAGAATGGTCAAAACACAAGCAAGCACTGTTTATATCTGTCTGGTTCTGAAACCGTGTCTCTGGCCATCCTGAGTTTAGCAAAGTTTGTGTCAGTTTCATGGTTAGGAAGTTAGCACCTAAAAACTCCATCCATGTGCAGACCTTTCAGGAGATGCAAGTGGTGTTGGGATCACAGTCCACATTTTATATCTAAGTATACTTTTATTCCTTACCATCCTGTGTGAGTACTTCTTTAATTGTGAATATTTACACACCTTTTGGAGAAAACAATCTTTATTTTCAGAGCACTGATCTGTTTTCTCCTTGTCTCATTGTTTATCATCACAGTAAATACATACTGTCAGTGAAGAGAAATGTCAATTTTAACGAGGTGAAAGGTATAGGGGTTGGGGGTATAACTGGGTGGAGAACTGCTCCCCGAGCAGGAAGAGTTGAGGTGAAGTGTTTTAAGATCACAGGCAGTGTCTATAACTCAGTGGATTATGCCAGAAGTCTTACAGAAGCAGACCCATTTATACTTTAGATGATGAGGTGGTTAACACAAGCCTTTTGGTACTCTTCAGGCAGTCTTCATCCCTGTGCACCTATGACAGAGTCTCTGTCTTTCCTTATGGCTGCAGGTTTCCTGGATTCTACACTTTCCCTCTCCAGTGCAGAATTCAGCATCACATCTAAACCCTGTCCAACTTGAGACTCTAATACAATGGAGAACTCTGCCATCTTACCTCTGAACTAGGGTCCCAAACATAAGATGAAGAACTTTCTGCATGTTTTCTGTACATAGCCATCTCCACTGCTCCATCAGCAGCAAGAGGAGCAGATCTAGGGCTGTGTCAGCGAGCTCTGTCTCTGCTCCTGGGGTATGAAAAGGCATCAAAAGTAACTCAGAAGAGACCCATTCTGGAGGAACATATTTCAATGCACTGGATCTTCACCTTTATATCAATCATCTTGTATTTCTGTAATTCTTCTGTACTTAAATCAAGAGATGTTTATATCTAAAAAGTTCAGTGATAGGCTCTGTATTTCTTTATAATTCTTTGTTTATATTCCTTAGTCACTCAGTAATACTTATCTTTCTAAATGATTTTGCATATAATTATTTTACCTATCTAGCTTCTGTTTCTTTTGTATTTTCCCCGGGAAACTAAATACATTCTGTTCCAAGTAACTGCTCCCAACTAGTGACTAACTGGAACTGGCAAGGCCCAGTCTCTTCCATCTTTATATTCCACTGGCCTCCACAAAACATCATGGAAATGTTGTGGGCAGCAGATCTGGGGAAAGTTTTGGGATTCATTCTCCCGTAAACAAGTTGCTTTGAAAGCATCTCCATTACACAGAGCTGTTGGGTTGGGATCTAGAAGGCTTCAGTCTGGTTTTGAGAGAAATGTGGTTCGAGGAAGAGCACTCTACCTTTGGTAAAATATGCCAATACAATGACTGATTTCTTTCCTCTTTCAAAGACTGGAAAGACCACAAGTGACTTCACATGCATGCTAAGCTGAAGTCTCCTGAACAGATGTACTTTATGGATGGAAGCATCTGTTCTTTTAACCCCGTTCAGGGGGTCCCTTGTCATCTGTGATTTGCTTCCCAGGAGATGTCCCCAGGAATACATAATGTTCCAGAATGAATCTCAGCAATCTGGTGCTACTGCTGTGATTAATATCATAATTAATCATCAACAGTAATTTTGTTAGTCTAGGACAAATGCGTATTGTCTCGGCCAGCTTGCCCAAGCTCTCCTCCCTGAAGAGTTCTTTAGGACATTTAGTAACTTCAGATTTGGATGAATCTTCCAGAACCGAATCCTACTTTTTTCTTAATCCCATCTAATATATATATCTTTTCTGCGCTGCTTTTCAAGGGGGCATGGGAACTGATATGTTTTCTTTCCAGTCATTTGCTCAAAGACAGGATATTCAATTCCTTAGGAAACAGCACCATCCTGAGCATCAGCCACCCTTGTGGATTTTATGATTTTCTCAGGTTTAGCGTTTACCTAGAGCTGCCACCATGTGGTGACAGCTAGTCATAGCAGTAAAAAATAAAGCAAAATGAGGCACTGAGTCCTCTGAAGAAAATGGTAAATTTCCTGTTATGTGAGCATTATGAGTTTCTCAGGGCTAGAAGAAAAGCTCAGGCATAAACTATACCCTTAGAGATATGATGTTCAAAATTTACAGGCTTGACTTTGGCTAGAATTATACTGTTTTACCCATTTCCTCTTATTTGTAACTTCCTACAGTTCTCTGACGCTTTTGAGGTCCTAACACTTCATTTACTTAACCAGTGAGATATGTGGGAAGAGGTGGGGTTGTGAACTTCATTTTTCACACAGTTAAGCTGAGGTCCATACAGTAGAGGTCAGGTGACGTCGTTCAAGGGCACCTGAGAAACAATGCTGAAATCAGCCTTTTTTTTTTTTTTCTTCCCCTTCTGAACCCCGGGTTTTGTGATCTTTTCTTTTCAGTGGGAGCCTCTGTCTTGGTGGAACTGAAAAACCTTTTTATACGTTCTAGCTCAGCAAGCATACTAATATCCAGGGCTCCCACTTTTTCCTCTGTAAAAAAAACATCTGCACTTCTTCTGGGAAGCAAACCTCCCTGTCCTCACCTCTTCTCCCTTCCTGCTCTATGTTGGGGAACTAGGTGGCGTCATTTGCTATGGCAGTAAATAAAACAGAAGGAAAAGATCCAGGGAAAAGGAAGAATTCCATGTTGTACTTCAGTTGCCCTATGGTATATCTAAGTGGAGATTTCCGGTAAGCAACTGGAAATACGACATCCAATATTTAAGCACCGTCAGCACACGTTAGATTTAAAATCAAGAGCACAAATGAGATCACTCAGGGTAGTATGCAGGGTAAGAACAGAGAGCCAAAAAAAAAGTTCTGGAAGGCTAGTAAGGGAACCAACAAAGGGGACTGACAAGGGATCACAAGAGAGGTGGAGAGAAAACCAGGAAAGGGGTACCACAGACACGAAAGAAAGTTTGTAAAGAGAGTAGTCCAAAAATGCCAAAGCACGGCAAAAATAACATAAATAAGATAATGATATGATAAGCATGGATCTTATTTTGCTGGACCAGAACTTCCCATTTTTGTACCCTGCTCCTCTGTTTGACTCAGCTCTGGGGACCGTGTCAAATTCTTCTTTGTATCCCAGGACTCGACACAGCACCTCAAACACTGGTGTTTAACACATGGCTTGCTTAGCTGAACACAAGAGAAATTACATCAACAACTCCCAATGATCACATCCTACCTCCCTTCTCTGTGGGAGCGGAGATCTTGTCACGTACCTGGATCACTGTTGCTGAGGTCTCGGGCCGGCACAGCTGCATCTGACAAGTAACCATCCGTACAATCTTTGGGGATTTGTTCAGGATCTTTTTCTGGGGCTTCTGCTGGCTGCATTTCTAATAACTTTGTCTGTTTTTCAATAAAGGATTCCATCCCAGACATGGATAGGATTTCTGACTCCTAGAAAGAGCCAGCGGCACATCACATAAAGAATGAAGAAAATAGGAGAGTAACCGTGGCCCTTCAGCTTTTCCCTGTTCCTTCCCTGCATCAGTATCATGAGTACAGAACGCAACGTACTCTGTGACCACCTTCAGAAAATTTTCACTTTCTACCTAAATTGCAAGTAAAACAGTGCCTTTTTTATTCTCACTCGCTGCAAATACATGTGGGTCATCTGTTCTCTCCCAAGAACTGGCTGTCCTTCTCATTCTGCCATCCTTTATTCCAAGGCCATGACCCTTGAGAAGCCAACCTATTGGCCCAGAGTGGGTAGGAATTAGAAACCACTAAGAGAAAATACTTTTAGAATAAAAATTAGAGATCCAGATGCTGGTTAAGTCCTTTAGCAAGGCACCTACATCTCTCCTGACTTTGGAGAATGTCTCAGTTGTCCGTAACTGCAGTATCAACATCCCAGCTATTAATTCCAGGAGTTACCTAGGAAATTCTTACCACATTGCCTTCCTGGAGACAATAGAGAATCTTCTCAGGTGCCTCAGTTATAGTCAGTGCTGGAGCAATCTTACTGGAGAACCTCAATCTGGACCTGGTATTGATACAAAGAGCAGAAACAGAACATGATTCATGGTTTTGATCTCCAAACAAGGGCTGACAAGTATTAATGCTTTAAAACAAGAACACCCATACTTATTCTTGGGAGTTTACTGTGGTCAGAGTTGCCAGGAAAGACCTGGCCCTGAAATTCCCAAAACGATATACATTCTGGCAATTCTTTATAAATAGTACAACCATTGCACTAAGCTGTGTCCACGATGCATTTGGGAAAGGGCTTTTGTTAATGTAAAACAGGGACCAGTCTATCATGGTTGTAGTCCCATAAGTTAAAAGAATGGTGAGCATATACTACATACTCATTAAAAATATGTTGAGATTAAATTGACAAGTGGCATAAACCAAGGTTTTTGTTGTTGTTAGTACCCTTTTCATACATCCACTTATTCTCCTAGTGTTCCAAATAAAAGTAGGGAAGGGACTACAAGTGCTAACCTCATGTTCAAGGCTCTTAAAAGCACAGATATCACGGTCACTCTTCAAAATATGGGCTCAGTAAAAAAAGGCTAAAAATTGTTTTATTGCTGGTCCATGAGACATGAACACAGAGACAAAGACAGTCAGTCAGACATACAGACACAAACATACAAACTCTCCACCCCCCCAACACACACACACACACACACACACACACTCTCTCTCGCTCTCTCTTTCACTCACTCACTCTTTCTCTTCATAACGGTCCAGATACAGATATGAAGTTTACAGTAAGGGTTAAGTGTGGTGCCCTTCCTTTCCACATGTTCGCTTTGAAAGGGTGTATGTGGGACTCTAGTGCAGGACAGAATAGGCTAAAATAGGCCCTATGCATGTTTATTCTGGCCCTTTCCTGTTTATTGCTAGTACGTGCATCTTCTGAGCTAAGATTTCCAGAAATGATGACAAACAGAGATCAGTTATAAGCCTTAATTCTTAATAGGAAAGAAACACCTCAATTTTCCAGGAAAATAGAAAAGGAGAATATCCATATTCTACAGTTTTCCTTCTAGTCAAAACTCCCTGGTCAGTTTAAGTTCTGGGTTCCCATGGCAAGACATTCAGCAGGGATGCCTATGCTGGATCTCAGGCTCCTCTGGGTTGAGGATTGAGGAGTGTAGGTCTGGCTTTGTATAAAAACTGGTATGTATGACCCATCTCCTCTCTCTTAGGGCTGGAGAGTGGGGATAGGCTTTGGCTTAGGACTGGCAATCACCCTGAGAACTGGAAAGGGTCCCCGGGTGACTGAAGGGCTTCTCACTTGCTAGGCTTCTTGCCTTCTGTCTGGGGCTTGCTTTCTGTCTCGGCCTCACTCAGCTCTTCTGTGGGGCTCTGGGGTTCGGAGCGAGGAAATGCTGTCTTCAAGGTGTCCACGATAGCACTTACCACCATCTGCAGGGGTCAGAGGTGCAGGGTCAGACAGAAACCACCAAATGAGCAGTTGTCTCATGGTGCTTTATGCAATGAAGATGAGCAGATAGCTAGGGTAGCTAGTGGAGACTTTTCATCAGCATAGTCAGATACCAGGCACATTTACTGGCAACTATTCCCCCCTTTCTCGATGGCCATAAAAATCTGCTTCCTCACAGAGTTAAGACAAACAACGTCATGGGAAAAGAAACCAAAACAGTGAGATAAATAAAAAGCTGGGAGTTCTGCAGGCTGGTGAAATACTTTTCATTTTTCAATTTCTTTCCTTGTATATGAAAGAATGATTTTTAATTTCCAAATCAATAATATTTTCACCAAGATCTGAATAAATGGAAGTGATATAGGCAGGAATATATGGAAAAGAGAAAGAGTAAAGATTATCAAATGAGAAATACCTTCTAGAAGTATATATAATATTAACATGTTCAGAGTAAATTCACAGAGTAAAGAACTGGTTTTTCCAGTTAATCCAAACAATTTCTCTTCTTTACAGAAAGAGTAACAAAAATCACTCATGTCAAAATTTAGGAGTCTGAATTTGATATAAACTACTCATAAAGACCAAAAAAAACAATCCTCACTGAAGAGTAAGAGTTGTATTTCTCAGAATGGAAAAATGGCATATAGATATAAAATGTACATATAAAATGTACAAATGAAACCCTAAAATACCAAAGAAATGAGAAGAAATCTTTACTTTTCTTTTGGTGCTCCTTGCTAATTAACACTGCCGGCTCAGAGCAGCATCACGCCTTCCTTAATTCATGCCTGTGTTCACCCTCTACAAGGAGTACAGCCAGCACAGCTGAGACAGGGCTGAAGTGTCAGAGCAAGATGACAGTAAAGCATAGGGGATAACAAACCAGGGAAAGAACACAGAGGACCGCATGAATAGATAACGCAGCTTAGAAAACATAACTTGCTCTCAAGGCTCACCAAATTGTAGTCTGTGGGGAGGGTCCTTATCTGCTCTGTTCACTGCTGTATCACCAGCAGCTAGTCCTGTTCATGGTCAAGCTCGTACTTGACCAGGCAAGCAGTTAAGTGGCTGGTGAGTCAGTGAGTGAACACATCTGTGTGGATGGACACATCTGCATGGAATTCTGGGGATTCTACCTCATTCATCCCTTTCCAGTTTGCAGCTTTTTCCTCACAGCAGTGCATGTCTCCTAATTCCTACCACATGAAATTCCACTTTTTCATTTTATCCTCTGAAGTCTAGAGAGAGGCCCGCCTTCTGCCAATGAGTCAGTGTTTTCTAACCTTTTAAAACATATGCCATCTTTGGATAAACATAACCTGCAGACTTGTGCCCTGGAGACTCTAAAATCAGCTGGTAATCACTGCTTACAGGATACGTGTTGCACAAATGTCCTCCTACCATCTCCAAAGGTTCTGAGACACCCTCTCAAAAAAAGTGTAATTCTTTCCATGCTCTGTTCTCCAGCAGAGATTTAGACTATACCAGTCTAAATCAAGCTTAGTGTCCTGTCTTGGGGCTCTTTTTCCTGAGTGACCAACACCAGGAATGATCTTTATCCCCAGGAGAAACTTTCCTGCCCCCACCGATCTATGGAGGTACAGATCTATCTTCACCTTCCTCCGCTAGAATAACAATGTCATAATATCCCCCAGGAGGTATGTGTACACATATAGTGTCAGACTTGCTCACTGTAATTCAGCAAGGTGATGGTCCAACCAATATTTGCAACAGATCTTAAAAATTCTAGTCCACGTTCTATGGACTCCTCTCTGCTTTCTCTCTGTACCCGCTACTTCCTTTATTTTTCAATCACTACCTACACTCTGGTGAGAAACTAAAGCTGAGCGCACACAGTGGCCCTGCTGGTACCTTGTCTATTCTGGACACCATGAATGGTTTCTTGACAAAGGCAATACGAGCATCTGTGTTCAGAGCAAGGAACTCCTGCATCTCCTCACTGTTAGCGATCTCCGGAATGGCACAGAGTTGCTGCAAAAGACACAAGAAGGATTTCAAAGAGAAATTTTGGTGCCCAAGTCTCTCCAACTTGGCTTGGGTATCTGATAATTAGAATGAGAGCACAGCCGAAACAGAAGGATGCTGACCTTTAGAAAGGATTCCAGGAGGCTCTTTCGGGCTTCTACTCTGTCACTATCCATGTTTCCAAATGGAAGGTCCGGAAAGAGCTTTTTAGGACCCTTCACATCTTAAAAAAAAAAACAAAAACACAAACTCATTCACTTTACATTCACTGAGAGATATTCCATATAAAATACATCATATATGTAAAGAAAACAGAACTGTTGAATATATTCCTGAGATTTTTTTATTTCAGGAGTTCCAAATATACCCCAAGGATATAGTACATACAATCTACTCTCGTTATCAGTGTTCACGCTAAGGTACAGGAGGCCATATGCTACGGTAGTTACAAATGAGGGCTCTGAAGTCTAGGTGCCTGAGTTTAAATTTTTGCTCCAATCCCTACTATAAGAATGCCTAATTCTTCTTTGACTTTTTTCTCTGTAAAGTGGGGATAATGATAGTTCTCTATCTCATAAGCTCTTAGGAGAATTAAATGAGCTAATATGTGTAAAGTGCGTAAAAGACAACCTGGCATACGTTTTCAAGCTTGGTTCAGTAGTAACTATTGTTATTAAGAAAGAAAATGCATAACTGAAATCCACAACTTATGCCTAAACTTATTAAAAAGTTTATTTGGGTGATCATCAGTTGTTGTTTTTTTTTTTTTTTAAACAAAGTAGCTGCTTACTAGCTTATTTTTAGAGTTAAATTTTATTACATTTTCTTACTGTTCCTGTGCCTTATGGGTATCAAATAGCAAACACCCAAAAAGCCTGGTTGTTAAAGGAAGGATGGCAAGCATTTCTGGAAACTATTTTTAGAGCAATTCATCTCTGTGTATGTGGAAAAGTTGATTTAACGCCTCACACTACCTCACAGACACAGGTGGAAATGTGAAAGTTTCTTAAGCTTAAACTAGATGGGCCCCAGAACAAAGCATTAAGTGGCAAAGAAGTGCCTCAGAAAGAATGCGATCAGTGCTAGCCAGTACTAAAACCCAAAACATCTGAAAGCAAACTGGGGGAACACGGGCCCCTTGATGCTGTGTTCTCCTCCATCCTTCCCCACAAATAGTAGGCCTCCAGCCTCTCATATCAGGGAGGTAGATGTGTAAAGCGGGCTGGGGAAACTCCTGACTTTTTATGAACTTTCGGAGATCTGATTTCTCTTCCAGACGCGTCTGCAGATTGAGGAACTCGCGGTAGCGGCGATTCACAGTGTGGTAGGCCACCTGCTGCAGGCCACTGCTGTTCTCACCATCCAGGGCCGTCTCATACTGTTGAATGAACACATTTGTTTAGGGCATCAGCTCAATGGCCACACAGTAAGAGCAGAGTAGAGGTAAAGGGAGGGAGACGTTCCTATTCTGTTTCTTTTCTTTCTTTTCTCTTTTTAAACTTATTTAACAGAGAGAGAGAGAGAGAGAGAGCGTGCACGAGTAGGCAGAGTGGCAGGCAGAGGGAGAGAGAGAAGCAGGCTCCCGCTGAGTAGGGAGCCCGATGTGGGGCTCAATCCCAGGACCCTGGGATCATGACCTGAACCAAAGGCAGACGCTTAACTGACTGAGCCACCAGGTGCCCCTATTTCTGAAGCTAGTAGATGTGATTGCTGCTCTGAGTTGTAATGAATAACTCAAATTTCCAGGGCTGCTGAATTAAGGAATGAGATGTTTCCCAACATATGTGGCCCAGAAAGAGCAATGAGTTTTGCTGTTCATTCCCTCCTTCCACCTCAAAACTCCCTCCTGCAAACACTTTCTTTACTTATAAAAATGGCTATAGGGCTCCTGGGTGGCACAGTCAGTTAAGTGTCTGTTGGCTTTGGCTCAGGTTGTGACCTCATGGTCATGGGATCGAGCCCCGTGTCAGGCTCCACACTTGGAGTCTGCTTGCGATTCTCTCTCCCTCTGCCCCACCCGCTTGTCTCCCTCTCTCTCGCTCTGAAATGAATCTTAAAATGGCTCTATTACTATTTTTCACATCTCAAAGAGTATAAAACAGAAGGCACAAGAGCACCTCTTTCACTCCTAAATTATGGGTTGGATGTTATAAGAGGATAACCATTTGCCATTATACTTGACCAGTGATTATTTATGTTAGTTGGGGGGGAAGAACAAATAATCCAAAACAGCTGATGAATAAAATCATTTGTTTGCCTGGAACGCATTAAAGGAACATGTGTTTTTATTTTGCTTTGGACAGATTATTATTCTTGGAGCTAAACTGAAATTTTTTTTTTCTAAGCACATATCATCTGTATGATTGGAAGTCACACGAAAACTGGAGATGTTGTAAGGGGTCAAAGTTTGCTGTCTTCATATGCGTAGAGGGCCAGTATGTGGGAAAAGACAACTTGTACTGAATGTTCCCCCAGAGCAAACACCCTGAACAGCATGAAAGCTGCAACTCAGTACAGGGTAGACTTTTTGACAGAGTAGTTAAGATATAATGAAATGATGTGCAAGAACTATGTATGTACTTGTTCTCATTAGGGGTAGGTTACCATTATTGTCTGGAGGAGGTATTATACTGTGGGGCAGGTGATGGAAAAAATGATCTCTTTGTTGGTGGGGCTTAAGGCTGTCTTAAAATTTTCTAGAGCCAGAGAGAAGTATTCATTATGAACTGACATGCGCAAAGTAGTAGTCCCTCAGACCAGCACTGAGAAGGAAAGGCCTAGGTAAGAGACACAGACAGAATTCAGGGTGGGGCTCTCAAACTTGGGGCACCTGGGAGTTTCTGTGGAATATTCTGCTCCCTGAGCGACACTAATCGATACTCAGACATTCCCAAACCTGGCTGCACCTCAAAAATCAATTGGGCTGCTCTTTAAATAGATTCTGATAGGCTCTGATAGATCTGAATGAGAATTTACAAAAATCCCTCTTCAGGTGATTGGGAGGCAGTCTATCCTAAAGCCAGTTTTAGGGAGCCGCTGCTGTAACTGAACTCACCACCTGATACATGATGATACATATGATACCTTCATATCATCTCTGCCAAGTAGTTCCTACTTCTGTGCTTAAACAACTCTAGGAATTAGAAACCTGGTACCTTCTGAGATATTATACATATATATATTTATTTATTTATATGTAAATATGCATATTTACATATACATGTAAATAAACTTCCTTCCTAAACAAAGTACAAAAGACACTAGTAATTAAGAAAGGAAAGAAAGAAATTAACAGGGAAGTTTGGTAAGAGAATTTCTGGACAAGACTCTATATTGGGAAGCACTGAAAAATATGACCCTCAGTATCCTAAGAACCCTGAGATTCTAGGATTGTTTGCATAGATACTAAACAGAAGCCAACTCTGCTTTACAAATGATCTTCAGACCATTTACATATGGATTCTTGTCAAATTAAACACAGTAAATGAAGAGTAGCCTCTCTCCCTGAGAATACTAGCTTCATTGATTCTGCTTTCCAAACCCATTCCCAGCCCAGAGTGGGTGACCATAATTCTAATCCTATTACCTTCACCGTGTAGAGTGTGTATGGGTGGAATCCAGTGCCACTGTGCTCTCGAGCAGTAATGGTACCAGTGATACGAAGGTTCTGGATGACAACTGGGCCATCTGGACTGGTCAGGGGCTCAAAGCTGAAGGTGGCTGAGCTGAGAGGACCAGTTGGAGAGGAGGAAAGCAGAACCTGTGGCAGATTAGGATCTACGGAGCTCACACCATTGGTGAGAGCCTTCTCTAAGCAAGAGGGTCGTGGGGGGCAGGTCCTTTCTGGATCTGTCAGCAAAGCTGTAAGAGAGGTGACATCTCCCTGCTCTACTTCCTTGTCTGCTGTGTCAATGTGGATCTCTGGGCAGGAAGTCAGCAAGGAGACCAGCAGCCCTGTCTCTGTTTCTGTTCCTGGACCCAGCTCGGCCTCTGCTCCTTCAATTCCTTCGGATCCCTCAACATCCTTAGACTCCAGAGACTGGGGACCCTCCAGGGTACACAGGGCATCCTGGATCCTGTCAGAGAGGAAGTTGCCTGGGGTCATGAGCATGATGGTTTCCTTGCTCAGTTCAGACAATGGAGACTCCAGCTCTGTGTCTTCACATAAGAACAAAGGGCCTCGAATATCTGGCTGTAGGAAATGAGATGAGTTGTATCCTACTTTTCTTTCTTCTGGCACTCCACCCAGTTCTCCCTCTAGTGCTTCATGGCCTTCTTCAACTTCTGGGGAGTGATGGGAAGGCCGGTCTGGCTCATTACAGTTCAGGAGCACCGGCGCTGCTGCTGCTGGAGAAGGGGCTCTCACTTCTGGCAGGCTCTGTACCTCAACAATCAGTGGCAGAGATGTGGGCACTGAGGGCTTTTCCAGGGCACTGGCTGGGGAAGTTGGTTTAACCACTGCTGTTGGATTATCTCTGGCCTTGGAAAAGATGCCCACAAGTGCGAGGTGGATCCAGTCAGGATCTGACAGCTTGCTAATCAGTGGTAAGATTACATTGCAGGTAATGAGTTCCACCACTACATGGCGACCGGTCCGGGTCTCCAAGTGGGGCTTTGGCACTAGTCCTTGAAGCAACAAATTTACAATGCCACGTGTATAAGTGACCTCAGTGCTGGCGCTCTGCACAGCAGGATGTGGGGCAGTAGCTCGGCAGTAAGCCTCCCAGAGCTGGGAGGGCTCAACTGTACCACTCTGCTTCCCAGCCAGGGCTTCCTTCGCCTGAATATAGCTCTGCAGGTGACAACCGCAGAGAGTCAGAACCCTCTGGGCAAGGGCATGACTGTCCACCATGCCCATCCTCCTCCGGAGCTCCTGGACCAACCCTTTCATGGCGGCCTCCATTTCTTCCTCAAAGGCTGGCTCCTGGCTCACTGAGCGATACCAGGACGACACAAAGTCCCGAATAATCATCTGGATGGTACGGTCGATCTCCAGTTCCAGTTGCCTCTCTGCCTCAGGGTTTGGAGGGCAGGTGGCCACTGGGATGAAGCGTTCCAGGTGCAGTCGACCTGAAGCCCCCACAATGGCGTTTGAGCCCAGCCATCCTCCCAGCACCGCTAGCAATGCAGACAGAAGGCATAGGAGCCACACGTTGACCAGAAAGTGGATGACCAGGAGCCAGCCGAGCACGATCCCCACAGCCATCAGCTTCCGGCTACTCAGCAGGTTATTGAGGTTCCAGCTGGACTCAGCTGGAGCCTCTTGTAACGAGGACACTGTCTCTGCCTTCATGGCTAAAAGGGGCAGATGGCTACTCAGACGATCGATCACCCTCCTTCTACTTCACTTGAGTTCGGGAATGGGACGTTAACTGTGTACGGAGACAAGGCTATCTGGCGTGCCCTATTCAGGGCCCCGGGCGGGGCTCTGGGCCCTCGGCGTCCTACAGGCACTGCAAAGCGACAGGGGCGGTACTGCTTCTCCCCCTCGCGCCAGCCCGTTCCAGCGGAGATTCCGCAGCCTTTATAATGCAGAGGTCGGAGAGCCGCCGCGCTGCCTGGGGAGGGCGGGGCAGGGCCTACGGCGCCCCTCACCCAACACTTACAGACGCCGAACACCGGGTCATACACCGCTGGGGGGCGCGCCCAGACCGAGTCCCGATGTGCGGGGGACACAACGGTGTCTTCGCCACCGCCCTCGGAGGAACCCTCCGCCGGGCTGGGGTCCCCGGGCGACTGCCACCAGCAGCCCGGCTTTTGTCACGGCTGCCGGGCGGCGGCCGCCGGGGACGACTTCCGGGTCGACCGCGGCGGAACGGGACATGTTGGGAGAGCGGCCGCGCGGCCTGAGGCGCGGCGCTGCGCTGCGCGCTGCTCCCCCTGGTGGCGAGGAACAGCCGTGACAGCACCAGCGGAAAGTGGTCTCCCAAACTCGGCTTGCAGAACCCGTGCTCAACGGTGGGGCAAAGTTCCCACAGGGGTGTGGAGCAGAGAGCGGCCGTGCCGGCAGTAACGCTCGAGGACTGAGACCTTTAGCTTTAATTATTAAATGGAGTCGTCCAACATTTCTTACTGCTTAGGCAAACTCTCTGTAATCCAGTTTGTTTTAATCCCATGTGGGCATTTTTTTCATTGGCCCGATACATTTTAACAATTTACCCCGCTTCCTCCAGCGCCCCCGTGCAATCCCCAATACATAGCTCACGTACCTTGTTCTCAGGAATTGCAGAACACGAGGCGTACAGTCTTAATACAGAGATAGATTTATTCCTTAAATTTCATATACTGTGCAACAAAATCATATTTGTGACTTGGGGGTTATTTGCTGGTGGCATTACCCAAGCAATCAGATGTTTTGAGCATCTGCTGTATTCAATCACTGTGAATAGGTACCGTGGACGAATAGAGCAGTCCTTGTCCTCAAGGACCTGGCAGTCTATTGGGGAGACAAGTTCCTGAATCATGAATGGATAACTAATAATGCAAGTCAGTATGGTATATGGTATAATGCAAAATCTTATAGATATTCAGGGGAAGGACAGGTCACTGGGGGTTGCAGTGGTTTAGAGGGAACCTCACAGAGAAGGTAGCCTTTATGTTGAATCTTCAAGGGTGAGAGTTGGTTTCTAACCCCCTCCATGTCGTCTTCCCCCTTTTTCCCAAATGTATAGGAAAAGAAGGCAGAGGTAGAGATGCATTTTCAGACAATCCTCAAATATATTTGCTTTGAAATCTACCCGGACAGAATTACCTACAGGTAGATTGAATGCCTGACAGTAGAGCGGACCATGTGTAAGAATGTGTTGGTGTCATGTGAAGGCAGATTTCTTCCCCATCTTGGTCCCTAGGAGCTCTGCCTGCAATGTGGCTATCCTTTTTATTTTGGCACAGGATGCATATCATTTGTATAGTTATTTATGATTGCTCATCTTCAGCTTTCTCTATGATGTTAGCAGGCTTCATCATTATAGCATTAGTTCCCAGATGTTAGGGGACTCTGCAGGCAAACTCCAACCAAAAATGTGCCAACAAGAAGCAAACATATTGTGGCTTCTCTCATTTCTACTGTTGTGGCAACGATTTCTTTTGAATACAAAAGGAACCATCATTTAGATGTGAAGCATAGTTAATGCCTGTCAATTCTAATACAAACAGTTTGATTTAGGATCAGAATGTCCACGAAGCTGACTGGACACATCCTTGAGAACCCAGAACGTGGTCCACTGTTTCCATGGCAGAGACCACTTCACTGCTGCTCTCCATTCCACAAAAAAGGAATATAAGAAGTGGGTGCTGCCCTCTTTGTCCTCCCAGACCATTTCATTGTCCTCAGTTAGAGAGACAGTTAGATCACAATGATGCTCTGGAGAAATATCCCTGCCACTCAGCCAAGAACTGAAAGAAGTGGATGAGAAAGAGACTAATGTGATTTTGAAGATTTTCCTGTGATAGGTCAGAGAGAAAGTTTACAGCATAAACTGGAGTGTTCAGGGCAGTAAGAAACTGACCTTGTAAGTGGGCGCTGTGCCACCTGACCAGATGGTCTGGAGTACGGAGGTAGCCAAGGGTGCCTTCCTGATTCTGAAGCGGATTTGATGAAATAGGACTCTCAGATGAACATGCCAGCACACTTGTCATTTTGACTGGAATGAGTTTCTGCCTAGAGATCTGGGATCAGCCTTAGTCTCCAAACAGATTTATCACAAGGAGGAGGCGAGAGGCACGACTGATGTTTGGTGGTGGTGATGGTGTGTATATGTGGTGGGAGGAGGCTTGCTGTCTGGCCACATCACTCACCATCTCACTAGGTCCTTTCTACTTTCCTTCTTACCATTTCTTAAAACATTACAGGCAAGTGCTCAAAGTACTTGGAGATAACAAGACAAATAATACACAGTAATCCACCTCAAGGGACTCTCAGTCTAGTTAAGGAGAAAGACACATAGATCAATGTAACAAAACATTATCAAGTGTGGTATGACAATTGCAGTAGAAGTATGTATAATAAAATGGGAACGCGAAGGAAGGGTGGTCAACCAGGGAATTGGGTGGTGTCAATAAAGTCTTCATAGAAAGTTGGAAAACGTTGGGAAAAGGTAAAGAAGTAAGTAAGTTATTTTGGGTGAATGGAGGATGAAAGTTTTGAAGGTGACAGATATATTAGTTATTACTGTGGTAGTGGTTTCATGCGTGTATATATATGTCAAAACTTAATCAACTTGCACAGAGAGAGCAAAGGGAAGAGAGAGGGAAGGTCTGTAAGGCAGAGGCAGCAGAGAGAAATAAGCAGGGACAGTGCAAGCTGGGGGGACTGCAGCAAGGGGGCATGCTGGAGGCAGCTCATGCTGCACCTCAGTTTTATCTCAAAAATAGAAGTCAAGGTAGCTTACTAAAGAGAGAAGTAGGGCGCCTGGGTGGCTCAGTCATTAAGCGTCTGTCTTTGGCTCAGGTCATGATCCCAGGGTCCTGGGATCGAGTCCCACATCGGGCTCCCTGCTCAGCGGGAGACCTGCTTCTCCCTCTCCCACTCCCCCTGCTTGTGTTCCTGTTCTCGCTGTCTCTCTCTGTCATATAAATAAATAAAATCTTTAAAAAAAAAAAGTAAAGAGAGAAGTAGTGATGGGGCAGGTGACTTGGTTTAGAACTATTGCTCTGAGAAAAAGAAGGAGCTCCTGAAGGTCATATAAAGAATAAAGAGAGACCGAGGACCTAGCTCAGGTTAGGACCTTGATGTCTTGAGAAGAGAGATGTTAGCATTTAAAATCATCGTGTCTATGTGTCTAGGAAAGGAAATGTAGCCAGAGAGAGAACATCAGTTGTGAGGATAGGGTTAGTTGTACTGAAAGAGACTGAGTGAGCCAGAAGAACAAAAGCCTGTGGCTAGAGATTGGTCTGTTGGAACCTGTGGTGCTTTCCTTTTGTTGCTCTATCAAATTACCATAAACTTAGTGGGTACAGCAACATAGGTTTTTTCTCGCACAGTTCTAAAAGTCATAAATCTAAACCCGGTTGGCAGAGATGTGTTCTTTCTGGAGGCTCTGAGGGAGAACCTGCTTTCTTGCCCTTTCCAGCTTTGAGAGGCTGCCTGCCTTCTGATTCTCATGGCCTCACATTACATTGACTTCTGCTTCTGTTGTCACTTCTCTCACTCTGACCCTTCTGCCTGTTTCTTATAAAGACCCTTCTGATTATATTGAGCCCTCCCAGATAACCCAAGGTTATCTTCTGATCTCAAGATACTTAAGTTAATCACATCTGCAAAGGTTCTTTTGCCATAAAAGGTAACATGGTCTCAGGCTCTGGGGATTAGAATGTGGACATCTTTGGGGGTCATTATTCAACTTACTACAGAGCCAAAATATCCAGATACGAAAATCTTTTTTGTGATGATGAAGTCTGGATGTGGCCAAGTAATGAGTTCCTGAAGTAAGATGTAGCTAACATGTTAGGGCTAAGGAAGAAATTTTGAATCTGTTTTTGAGAAGGATGATCTATATGTCATTGGAAGTCACTGATGTTAGGGTAGTGAAGACTGGGGTCTTGGTACAAAAGTTCTCAATAAATGAGGAGGATGATCAGAAGTTGATGGATGATGTAACAAGAAGAGTAGATTGTGGTAATACCAAAATATGAGGGGGGAGTTTTTCATAAATTGGAAAACAAGTTACCTGGAAGAATCCATGAACTGCCTAAGATACAGTGTTATAGAATAAATAGCTACCAGAGGGCAGCAGGGATTACGGCATCTTAAGGGGAAATTGCATCTCCTATACTCATTCATTCATCCATTCATATACCCATTCATCCATTCATCCAACAAGCATTTAAACTCGGTATTGGGAATTCAGATATGAACTTTGTATGGCTGATCTTCTTAAAGGATTCACAGTCTTGTACAAGAGACAGGCACTGACACAATATTAAAAGTGCTATAAAAGAAAATGTCAAAATACGGGAACACAGAGAATTTGGAAAAGTTTCACAGAAGAGGTGTCAATTGAGTTAGCATTAAAGGATGGGTTAAATTTCTCAGGAAGACAACATGTCTTTCCAGGAATAAGGAAAACATGAGGAACACTGAGAAAGCTCCTGTATCAGTTTGCTAGAACTCATAATAAAACTGCAGGCTGGGTAGTTTAAACAATAGAAATTTATTTTCTCACAGTTCTAGAGGTTGGAAGTCCAAGATTAAGATATTGGTAGAGTTGGTTTCTCCTGAAGCCTCTCGCATTGGCTTGCAGATGGCTGCCTTCTTGCTGTGTCTTCACATGGTCTTTCCTTTGTGTGTGTGCCTCCTTGGTGTGTCTCTCTCTTTTAAAGACACCACTCCTATAGGATAAGGGCCCACCCATATAACCTCACTTAACTTTAATCACCACTTTAAATTTCTCTAGTCAGGGTTCTCCAGAGAAACAGAACCAGTATATATGTGCACACACACACACACACACGTAGATGTAGATTCATTATGAGGAACTGGCTCATGCCAGTGAGGCTGAGAAGTCCCACGGTCTGCCATTGGCAAGCTAGATACCCGGGAAAGCCAGTGGTATCATTCAGTCCAAGTCTAACAGCCTGAGAACCGGGGAGTTTATTATGTAAATCCCAGTGTAAAGGCTGGAGAAGATGAGATGACCAGCTCAATTTTTGAGGCAGGAAAAAAAAAGGTGAATTCCTTCTTCTTTCACCTCTTGTACTATTCAGACCCTCAATGGATTGGATGATGACCACCATTTGGAAAGGCAATCTACTGAGTCCAGTGATTCAAATACTAATCTCTTCCAGAA